AATATCAATAATTTTGTTTCCAGCTATCTTTATAGATTTATTCTTGAACTTTAATGATATTGGAAGTCATCCAAGATGAGTGAAATATATAGTTGGAAAACTAATTAGGGGAACCAAAGGAAAGAGTAAAAATGATATTATCTATTACACCTTTTAGCAGCATTCTTTTGAGATTGCCTTGGAGATATGAATCTGTAATGTCTCTAGGCCTCTTGTCTTTTGGCTTGACTGATAAAATTTAATAATTTAGGAAGATTAAGTTTAATTAAATTTACTTTTTAATGATAATTCTATTTGTTTACTTATTTGATAGATGTGCAATAGAAGTTTATTGAGTACGTGGTATCTTTTAGATTCTGTGCTAGGTATACAGCACACAAAGTTAGAAAAGACTTAACCATGCTTTCAAGAGCTCATGATTTCACAGGGAGAGGTAGACATGTCAGCTAGGCATCCCAAGCACATGTGAAAAGCCCAATGCTATATAGTCTGGAAAGTTACTGTGGTACATAAGCATCAGGAATATAGTTAGTGTGTTTTATGATTTAAGAATAGTTTTTATCCAAAAATTTTGAATGCTACTTCATAAGATGTCCCTGGATTTTTTTTTTCCTCAACAAAAATGGAAGAACATAACATGAGGCAGATAGGCTTTGGGGGCAATATTCCCTAAATGATGTCTCTCTTCCTTGGATCCTGCCGTGGCTACTCATGGACCTGCCATCCAAGGATGGAGTATATGTGTTACTTTTTTGTATCCTAGCCTCTTTTCAGTTTTCAAATGACTTTATAGAAAATTTAAGTAAAGTTCTTAGCAAGCTGGATTAGTATTTCTCTCATTTTCTTAGCCCATTATGTAGCATATTTGCTGACATATAAGTATCCTTACTGCCCAGTGTTATCTAGAGAACATCTGTGCTAGGGAAATTAAGAAGAGCTCTTTTTTTTTTAACATTCTTTTAAAAATTAATATGAGGGTACAATTAGGTTACAATGTTTGCATTTGTTAGGAGGAGTCCCTGTTGTAGTGTCCCCCACCCAGAAGATGTGCCATATACCCTTACATTGTGCCCATTAAGTGGGAACACGGCCACCCCCCTCCTTCCTTCCCTCTCCCTCCTACCCTCTTCCCCCCTCATCTTGAATTGAATTGAATTTTCTCAATTAGAAAGTATTAGACCATCCACTGGCTTCATATTAGTATTGAGTACATTGGATGCTTGCTTTTCCATTCTTATAATAAGAAGAATCTGTTTCAATTCCATTCAGGTTAATACAAAAGGTGTAATGTCTCCATCTTTTTTTAAATGACTAAATAGTATTTCATGGTGTACATATGCCACAGTTTATTTATTTATTTCTGGGTTGGTGGGAATTTAGGTTGTTTCCACATCTTGGCAATTATAATTGAACTGTGATAAACAATCTAGTGCAAATGTCCTTATGATGAAATGATTTTTTTTCCTTCTGGGTAGATTCCTAGTCATGGGTTTGTGGGATCAAATGAAAGGTCTACTTTGAGTTCTTTGAGGATTCTCCATAATTCTTTCCAAAGAGGCTGTATTAGTTTGCAGTCTCACCAACAATATAAAAGTGTTCCCTTCTCTCCACATCCACCCCACCATCTGTAGATTTGGGACTTTGTGATGTGAGTTATTCTCACTAGGATCAGGTGATATCTCAGGGTAGTTTTGGTTTACATTTCTCTGATAATTAGGGACAATCAGCATTTTTTTCAAATGTTTGTTAGCCATTCATCTGTCTTCTTTAGAGAAGGTTTTGTTCATATCTCTAGCCCAGGGATAGATGAGATTATTTTCTCTTTTTTGTTGTTGATTAATTAGAGTTCTCTGTAGATCCTAGTCATCAACCTGTAGATCCTTTGTCAGATTCATACCATGCAAACATCTTTTCCCATTCCGAAGGTTGTCTATTTGCTTTAGTTATTGAGTCCTTAGCTGTGCAGAAGCTTTTCAGTTTAATTAAGTCCCATTTGTTTATTTTGGTTGTTGGTACAATACCACTGAAGTCTTCATAAAATCTTTCCCCAGGCTAACATCCATAAGAGTTTTTCCCACATTTTCTTCTAGGATGTTTATCATTTCATGTCTTAGATTAAAATATTTTATGCATCTTAAGTCAATTTTTGTAAGTGGTGAGAGGTGAGGATCCAGTTTTAGTCTTTTATATGAGGTTATCCAGTTCTCCCAGCACCATTTATTAAATGGGGATTCTTTTCCCCAGTGTGTGCTCTTGTTTGGTTTATTGAAGATCAGATGGTAGAAGAGACTGGTTTCATGTCTAGGTTTTCTATTCTGTGCCATGTCTATGTCTCTATTTTTATGAAGAAAGGCTGTTTTGTTATGTAAGCATTTCAGGGGGAAGTTTAAAGACGCTATAGAGAAAATCATTTTTTCTTAACCACACTGCATGATTCCATGTTATTCTTGCTGTGCGCATTTAGAACATAATGAGTGCTCCTCAGGTCACGTGTGTTAAGTTGATGCTGTCCATTTAAAAAAAAAATGCCAAGTTTTAAGGGGATACAAAGGTTTTTGTTAAGGGAAAATCTTGTATAATGTTTAAGTCAGGGTTTTTTGGTATCCCCAACACCAGAATAGTGTTCATTGTACCAATAGATAAGTTTTTATCCTACACGCACACTTTCACCTCCTCTCTTCTTGGTTTCTTGTGTCTTTTAATGCCCATGTGTACTCATCTATTAGTTCCCACTTATTAGTGAGAGCATATGGTGTTTGGTTTTCTATTCCTGAAATAGTTTATTTAGGATAACGTTCCCCAGTTTCTTCCATAAAGTAGACAAAAGACAAGAACAGAAGTCTTTTGAAAAAAGACAAATGGCCCACAAGCATATGAAAAAGTGCTCAATGTCACTAAACCTCAAGGAAATGCAAATTAAAACTAAAATGAGATACTAGCTTTCCCATTAGAGAATGGCCATTATTAAGAAGAAAAGAAAAACACCTGATGACATGGATGCAGAGAGAAAAAAATGTTTATGTACTGTTGGCGGGACTGCAAATTACTTTAACCTCTATTGAAAACACTATGGAGATTCCTCAAACAAATAAACATAGACTTACCATTTGATCCAGCAGTTCTACCACTGGGTATCTGACCAAAGGAAATTAAAACATTTTTTCACAAAGACACCTGCACTCAAGTGTTTGTCACACAGCATAATTCACATTTGCAAATATTCAGAATCAACCCAAGTGTCCTTCAATTCGTGAGTTGAGTACATAAAGGAAATGTGGTATATAGAGTACTACTCAGCCATAGAAGGGAATGATATAATGTCATCTGTAGCAAGGTGAAGGGATACTGCTCCTTATGTGTTAAAATCACAATCCCAGTGTCTGATTCACCTATATAATACTTTCATCTCTAGGGAATATATATAAAATGTTTCTGTATTAAATACTTTGAATATTTTGCTAGACACCGAAATTCTGTCCTCTCTAGGATGGATGGTTCACAATGTGTTATTTTTTTCTGTTGTCATGTCTTAATATATGTCACTGTCTTAATGGCAGTACATGCTTTCAGAAAAGCTGCTGTAATTCTAATATTTTTTTTATGAAATCATATTCACTCTGACTAATTATAATCAATGAATTGTCTTTTTATTGTCCCTAGTATCACATACTTATCCTAATAAGAGCCCTGCACTACCTCTAATATCTACCTCATTGAATGTAGCAGAAACATTTTGCTAAGTCATAGCAATCTAGTTAATTCTGCATGCTTTCTTTCCTTTTGTGAACTTATTAATAACAACTGGCTCACAAGGGGGAAAAAGGGTATAACAAAATATGCAGTTCAAAGTCTTTTAATGATATATTCAAAGTATAGCCTTCCTTTTCATAAAAATACCCAATATCTGACAGAAAACTACTTTTAAAATTAGTAGATCAATGACCTTGCTAGAAAATAAGAAGAGGAAACTTTATTGTGGAAAATATGTAAAATGACTGAGAGTAAAATGGTTACAATGGACTGAAGGATGCTGAAGTGAGCCTCACATTTTTTCTGTTACTTGTGGGGTTATACATGGTTACACATGGGAAAAGGGTACCCCAAGGTGGAAATGGTTCTAGGGGCTTCTCAAGTTTGGAAATGGAAGAACCTGGGGTCCTCATAGTCTTATAACAAGTAAGGTAATCTGGATAAAACACTTCTTAACTTCCAGCAATTCTTTTAGACCAGAATTCAAGCAATAGAAGATTGCCTCAAGGTGAGAGTGATATACGGGGGTCCTTGGGTTGAAAAGGTAGACAATTCTCAACAAGGCTAAAGATACCAGATGAAAGGAAGCAGGAGCCCCATGTCCCGTAGGCAAGCATATCCCAGTGAGTCTGCAGGGTGTGTTTTTACTGGTTCGTCACTACAAGTGCCCCTTCTGGGGGTCCTGGTTACCTAGAGAAAGTAGTCTCAACACTTGGTGCAGACTCTGTCTCCACAGGTTCTGTGTAGGGACATTGTATTTCTAGCCACAACCAAGGTTTAAGCACAGAATGTATACTACCTCTGTGTTTGTGTGTGTGTGTCTGTATCTGTGTGTGCATGTGTGTGTATATAAAGAAACTTCAAATATAATTTAAAGTAGTTTTGCATTGGTGGTATATCCAGACAACTCACAGAATGAAGAAAATAAGGGATATAAGGGAATTTTATGTCTTCATTATGGTGGAAGTTACACAACCATATACATTTGTCACAGCTAACAGAACTGCATAGTTTTAAATTGAATAAATTCTCAGAAATTTTATTTGGTATACATTATGCATGTACTCCAATGGAAATACTAAAAATGTTTAAAAATGGAAGAGTAGTGGTTCTTGAGCTAGGTTTTAGTGTGTGTGTGTGTGTGTGTGTGTGTGTGTGTGTATTTAGTGCTAGTATATATATTTAGAGCTATTATCTGCCCCAACCTGCAATCTATGTATTAACCATATTGTGATATTTTCCCCTGGCAGGCGATTGCGACACCCCACTGGCATCTGCCTTGCCTCCATCATCCTTCAGCAGCTCCTCAGAGCTGTCCAGCAGCCATGGCCCTGGGTTTGCAAAGCTTAATCGAAGAGATGGTGAGTCTGCTTTTTCCTCACATTGCTCCTTGGTGACTCTCATTGGATTTTCATTTAACAAAATAATTATAATTGATCGATGCTTTGCAGAAGGAAATAAAATTCCAAATAAGCATATTTGTTCCCATTTAAAACTCTGAGGATGTCTTTGACATGAGCACATTGATCACTTGGCTTGCTGGTCCTGCTGGTCCTGTCTTGGTCCAAGCCTCATCGGCCTGGGAACAAGTCACAGCTGACTTGACAGTGTTTGAACTCTCTGTATACTCACTGCAACATGTAAGTCTGTATCCAAGGCCTCAGAATGAGCTATGTCCTTTAGTTTACCTTGAATTGTTTTTTTTCACAAGTATATGTTTCATTGTCCTAGATTATTTGGTTACCCTTCTTTGGACAAGAAAATTGGCAAAATAAAGACACATACACATTTTAAAAAGATTTTATTATGTCGTAACTACAACTCTTAGTTTATTTCTCATTATGGCTGACTTTAGCATCCACTATAGAGAAATAAACATGTAATGGTTTATTCATGCTCCACTGTGAATATTCCATTTATATTTGTAAGCATATCTCACAAGGAGTGTTTCTTTTACATATGTTTAAACAGAAAGTGTAGAAAATCGAATGTTATCTAGCTATGTAAATAAGAGGGAACTTTAAATATCACATAAATAGTGACAATACATCAGCCTGGCATTTTTCAAACAAAAACTAAGTAAAACTTGCTAGAATAAATTCTCAGAAAATTGAACTTACAATTATTTTTATGGGTTAATATTCTAACAAATATTGGTAGCATACATGAAAAAAATGTGTACTATAAATATGCTTTCCTATTTCCTTATTTTGTATTTGTGTTTTTCTGTTTTATCCCCCTTTCTGTTGTATTCCTTGGTGTTTTTAATATTTGAACACATTAGTGCATTGCACATTGGGGCCAAATAAATATATTCTTTCTTTTGTTACAGGCAATATAGTAATCAAAAATGAATAACTTCTCATTCTGCTTAACATACATTTAAGTCTTACTTAATTCATTGCTGAGAGTTGTGTTCTGTCTTTTTATTTGTTTGCTTTTTACTTTTACATTCCTGAAGAATTAAAAGTATAATGGATGGCCATTATCACTGAAACAGTGATTGAGACTGGCACAGGGAATAATGGAAAACAAGAGCAATCTCAGGCTATAGTTCTTTACATGTCAAATGCTATTTTATTTATTTATCTTTTAATTTAAAAATATGAAGAGGGTATAAATGTTTTTGTTAAATGGATAGCTTTTGTGGTGTTTGAGTCATGGCTGTAAGTGTGCCCAGCCCTAATAGTGTTCATTGTATCCTTTAGGCAGTGTTTTGCCCCTTTCCTCCTCTCACCTTCCCCGATTTCCAGTGATTTTTACTTCCTTTTGTGCATATGTGTGCCTATGGGTTAGTTCCAATTTATTAGAGAGTACATGTGGTGTTTGTTTTCCATTCCTGAGCTACTTCACTTAGGATAATGGTCTCCAGTTTCATCCAAATTGTTGCAAAAGGTATTAATTCATTTTTTCAAATGTCTGAGTAGTACTCCATGTTATGCATATACCACATTTAGTTAATCCTCCTGAATTGATGGGCACTTGGATTGATTCCACATCTTTGCAATTGTGAATTATGCTACAATAAACATTTGAGTGCAGTTATCTTTTTGACAAAATGACTCCTTTTCCTTTGAGTGGATACCAAGTAGTAGGATTGCTGGATCAAATGATAGGTCTACTTTTAGTTATTTGAAAAATCTCTATACTGTTTTCCATAGAGGTTATGCTAATTTGAAGTCTTGTCAAAAGTATGTAAGTAATCCTTCTCTCTGCATTCACGTCAGCATCTATTTGAACTTTTTCATTAAAAGCCCTCCTAACATGGGTAAGGTGACATCTTGGAGTTTTAATTTGCATTTTGTACATTTATTTTCACTTGTTTCTTGGCCATTTGTCTATCTTCTTCTTCTTCTTCTTCTTTTTTTTTTTTTTTGCAGTTTTTGGCCAGGGCTGGATTTGAACCCACCGCCTCCAGCATATGAGGCTGGCACCCTACTCCTTTGAGCTACAGGCGCTGTCCTCTATCTTCTTTTAAAAAACTTCTGTTCATATCTTTTGACCACTTTTTACTATATATATTTGTTGTTGTTGTTGTTGTTGTTTTCTTGCTGATTTGTTTGACTTCTTTGTAGAGTCTGGATATTAGCCATTTATCAGATGTATAGTTTGCAAGTATTTTTTTCCCATTCTCTAAGTTGCCTATTTGCTCTGTTGATTATTTCCTTAACTATGCAGAAACTATTTAATTTTAGTTTCATGTATTTATTTTTGTTGTTGCTATAATTGTCTTTAGTTATAAATTCTGTGCCTAGGATGGTATCTAGAACAATTTTTTCTATATTTTCTTCTAAAATTCTCCAGGTTTCATGCATTACATTTAAACCTTTTATCCATCTTGAATTAATTTTTGTGATTGGAGGGAGATAAGAGTCCTTCATTCTTCTACATGTGGCTATCAAATTTTCCCAGCACCATTTATTTTCCCCAGCATACATTGTTGTCTGCTTTGACGGAGATCAGTTGCCTGTATGCTGATGGTTTTATATCCGGATTCTCTGTTATTTCATTGGTTGCTGTCTCTAATTTTGTACCAATACCATGTTGTTTTGGTTACTAGTCTTTTAGTATAGTTTGCAGTCTGGTAATGTGATAGTTCTAGATTTTTCTTTTTGATTCAGATTGCTTTGGCTACTTGGAATATTTTCTATGTAGAATTATTTTTTCTAGATCTGTGAAATACTAATATTGTGATGGAGAATGCACTGAATCTGTAAATCACTTCGGGTAGTATGAACATTTTAACAATGTTGATTCTACCAATCCATGATCATGATACCAGAAAATGCTTTCATTCCAAGTTTGCTGTAAGTTCAACAAAATTGATAATTGTATTCCAGGGTATCGTTTTACTTACTGATACTGTTATTTCTTTCTAGAGTTACACTTTTAACATATAAGCATAAATAAAAAAATTAGGCTCAGTGCCTGTAGCTCAGCGGCTAGGGCGCCAGCCACATATACCAAGTTCGAACCTGGCCGTGCCTGTCAAATAATAATGACAACTACAACCAAAAAGTAGCTGGGTGTTATAGCAGACATCTGTAGTCCCAGCTACTTGGGAGGGTGAGGCAGGAGAATCACTTAAGCCCAAGAGTTGAAGGTTGCGGTGAGATGTGATGCCACAGCACTCTACTGAGGGCAACATAGTAAGACTCTGTCTCTAAATAAATAAATAAATAAAAGAATAAGAAACATTTATGTGAGGCTGGGGGCAGTGGCTCACTCCTATAATCCTAGCACTCTGGGAGGCTGAGCTGAGTTAATTGCTTGAGCTCAGGCGTTTAACAACAGCCTAAGTAAGAGTGTGACCCCATCCCTACTAACAAAATAGAAAAGTTAGAGAGAGTTCCAGTTACTGAGGCAGCTGAAGCATGAAGATTGCTTGAGCCCAAGAGTTTGAGGTTGCTGTGAGCTGTGATGACACCATGGCACTCAAACCTGGGACAACAGAGTGAGACTTTGTCTCAAAAAAAAAATTTATATACATACAGAATTAGTAATACCTGTGTATAATACACATCCTTATTTTCCCCTCAAAATTTGGGCAAAAATTGTGCAGTGTACATGGCAAAATGAGGTATGTTTTTTTCCATTTGTTTGTGTCATCCATTTCTTTCCTCAGTTTTTCTTTGTTTTTTGTGGGTTTTTTTGTTTGTTTGTTTGTTTGTTTTTGGAGACAGAATCTCATTCAGTTGCCCTTAATAGACTGCTGTGATATCATAGCTCATAACAACTTCAAACTTTTGAGTTCAAGTGATTCTTTTGCCTCAGGCTCCCGAGTAGTTAGGACTATAGGTGCCCACCACAAGGCAGGGCTATTTTTAGAGAGAGGGTCTCACTGTTGCTCAAGTGAGTCTTGAACTCTTGAGCTCAAGCAATCTGTCTGCCTCATCCTCCCAGAGTGCTAGGATTACATGTGTGAGCCACTGCACCTAGCCCTTCCCAGTTTTTCATGGTTCTTGTTGTAATTTCACTTCCTTGTTTAAGGGTATTCCTAGGTATTTTATTTTCTTTATAGCTATTGTGAATGGAACCACATCTTTAATTCAATTCTCAGCTTGACTGATACTGGTGTATATGAATGCGACTGATTTCTATATATTAAATGAAGAACTGTTAGCCATACTTCAGAAATTATTCCATAACATTGAGAAGGAGGGAATCTTCTGAACTCATTCTGTAAAGCCAATATCACCTTGACACCAGAGCCAGAAAAAACACAACAATACCAACAAAAGGCAACTAAAGACCCCATCCCTTATGAACATTGATGCAAAAGTCCTCCTTAAAATATTAAGACTAACAATCCAATGGCACATTAAAAAAATAGTCCATTGTGACCAAGAGGGCTTCATCCCACAGATGCAAGGATGATTCAAGGATGCAAGGATGATGTAAATCAATAAATGTGATTTGCCCCATAACCAGAAATGAAAATAATGACCATATGATCATCTCAATAGAGGAAGAAAAAGCATTCAACAAAATCTAGTGCCCTTTGATGATTAAAAAAAAAAAACCCTCAACAAACTAGGCATAGAAAGAACATACCTCAAAATCATAAAAGCCACATATAACAAACCCATGGCTAACATCATACTGAATAGGAAAAGGCTGAAAGCATTTCCCCTAAGAACTAGAACAAGACAAGAGTGCCAGCTGTCACCACTTCTATTCAACATAGTGCTGGAAGTTCTAGCTAGAGTAATCAAGCAAAAGAAAAAAATAAAATTATCCAACTTGGGAGAGAGGAGGTCAAACTATTGCTCTTCACTGATGATATGATCTATTATCTGGAAAACCCTGAAGATTCCACCAAGAATCTCCTGAAATGGATAAATCAATTCAGCAAAGTTTC